TAAAAAAAAAAGAAAAATGCTCCCAAGTAGCCAATTGACCTTGAATTATGAGACTCCCAAAGTTCTCTGACTTTTTCTAGCGGGCTCCTCGTGGGTTGTAGCAACAAGTAGTTCCGTGATTCCTTGACGTATGGACGTTTGGACTCCTGTCTTCTTGTCTCCCTCTCTACGTCACACGCAGGCCCTTTCTAATTCTTTTCTTTTTTTCAAACGTTCGCTCTTTTTTTATATTTTTATTTGCAATCTATAGATTTCGTGTGGAGATATGGCAACGCAATTTTTCTTCGTTCTTAAGAAATGTTCCACAGCTTTTCCAATATTTTAAATGATTTTGATTTGAGCTTATTTTTGGCATTTCTGTTTAATTGTAACTTTGAATCGCTAGGATTTTAACAGAACTGTAGACAATACAATTGTTTGTCCTGCACATTTATTGAGAAGTTTTGCATACGACACGAATGGCCTGAAAGAACAACCACAGTAACTGTAGGAACTATATCGTCTATGACGTAAGTCTTTTAGCTCCTTCCATAATCCTCTGGTCTAGAATGTGTTTCCGATCTGTAAGATATAATGATACTATTCTGATATTCTTGTGATATTCTTCTGATAGCCGTCTGTTACTTTTATGATATGTCTTACGATACCCATGACACCTTTATGATGCGCTAACGATACTTCCATGATACTATTATGATGCTCCTCTGATACTCCTATACTTTTTTCTGATACTTTTATGATACTACCATGGTACCTCTTTGACACTTCTGTGGTAGTCTAGTGATATTTCTGTGATATCCCGAAGATTACCTTTACGACACTCCTATGATACTCTTATGATATATTTAGAACATTTCTGTGATAGTCTATAGACTGTTTTCTCCGTTGCAATAGTTGCTGTTAGTATATAATTATTATTATTATCATGATTATTGTTGTTATCATTTCTTTTATTGCTTGATTTGTTTATTTATTTGACACTTTCAAATATATGTAACATTATTATATGCCATAAAGCGTTGAATTGCACTATTATTACACTGTGAAATATTATATTGAATTTTGTATCAAATACTTACGTCTACTTGCACAGCAGAACTGAGAAGAACAAACAACTTGTAGCCAAGTCCTGCACAAATACAAATGTCCTACTGAAATTCTACCAATAAATTGTTTGTCGTTTTTATTAATCAATGAAATTACAAAACATTCTTCAAACTCAGAGCAAACTCTTTTAATCACACGGTATCAATATATTCTTTAAGTTAACTGAAAAGCCACAAATTTGCAGAGGCGATATTTCAAAGATGTATTCTGGCGACTCGTCAAAGTTAAACGAAATCACATCAAGCCACAAGCAGAGAGAGACTATTCTAAACTACTCTGTATCCAAGTTTTGCCTATGCGACTGCATAATAACATAACATTTTTGAGCTTCTATTGATATTTATCTATGTAAATCCAGGTATTGTAACTAAAATAAAACTTTGGCATGGGCACTTTTAAACGGTCGAAAAATAGCACATATTTATGCTTGGCCGATCATGCGTTCACTTCACAGGGGCTGCGTGCAGCTATCTTTTCCTCATCTCCATAACGATTTTTCATC